ACACGAAGTGGTCTAGAGTCAGCCGGCGATTCGAAAAAATGTTGGTCGATGTTGAAGTGTATGAGGTGTTTGAAAGAATGGTCGATACAGATGGTGATGTTATCAGCTGACCGGAAGGTTGTGTAGTAAAATGTAAAACGTACACTACAAGTTCACTGGTGTGGCTTACACCACAAATATCGTCTGTCTAGCATCTCCTTCGCACGCGCTGTTGTCAGTGAGCACGCAACGAACCCTTTATGATCATGTTTACAGACGCCTTAGAAAATCTTTCCCCGGAGCAACAGAAGATTCGACAACTTATGAGATAAAACTTCAGATACAACATGCCTCGGGAATGGACTGATCGTGATAACCGATCACAACAGGAATATACTTCGATATGTGCTACTCGTCATTGAAACTTTTACAACCATATTGATGCGTTTTGCTGCCGACGTAAACAGCATTGATGCTAAATTGCGGTTAGTTGTGTCACGGTTGCAAAATAGGATGCAGTGTATATTGGGCTATTCGTCGATGTAACCAGAAAAAGCAACTATAACGCGTCGATCATGCGCTATATATCCGATTCTTGGCTAAACGGCCAGACTAGAGCGAACAGGAGTACACACGAAAATAAGCTAGGAAAAATTTATTGAACAGTCCCTAACGTGGCCAAGACTAAAAATAAAGCACCAGAGGAGAACTAGTTAGGAAAGGTGTAAACGGGTGACGAGCGGGAGCTGCAGATCACATCCGTTTTGTAGCAGACCTGATGCGAAGGTGTTGCGTGTGTGAGTCAAACAAACCGGGTCAAAATTGAAACATGAAATCCACCTACTTCACTAATACATAGGAATTATAATTTTGAAATATTTTAGGTTACATTATTAGTGGTTTTTGTGAGTAGTGTAATTTTTGTAGAAAGTAGAAGCCACGATTAAACTTTGCACAATAATCTGCCTCGATGGGGATTCGAACCCCGAACGTACGGATTACTGGTCCGCTGCTCTACCAACTGAGTTACCGAGGACTGACGATCAGGCGCGCAATTTTTAATACAAGCGTTGCTCGTGGATCTCAGTGGCATAGTGCTTGTGGCGTCAACCATGAGCCACTAGGCTCTGAGTTCCAGCCCAACTCAGGCTATCTCCAACTGATGAGTCCCAACCAGAACAAAACCGCGGTCTTGGGGTGCCAGTGTTGGGATGAACAACACTATAATGTTTCTATTTTACTTACGATCTTTGTGATCGGAATGACCGAGGTCCACCTCAAGTGAACCGAGGTCTCAATAGAGGTTGCTTGTAGCAACCCAACCACCAGCGGATTCTCCAAGCCCAACTTTGACTTCTGCTTGGTTCGCGAGGTATTGCCAATAAGGTCCCAGTACCTGTCCTGGTGTTGCAGAATGGCTCACTCGTCACTTCCCAGATTAATTTACACAGTCAGACGAGAGAATCTCCAGGTCACTACAAAACTTTTGGAAGGCGCTGCAGTCCCGACGACAGTCCAAAACAACTTATGTTGGGGCTTTTCTTTAACACTGTCATTTGACTCGCGTGTCGTTCGGGTTAATAATAGTCCAGACAAAGTCGTTATGAAGAAAGCTAAACCGGACATGATTACTCATATTCATCTAACATAACAAGAGACTGGTCAAATAACCTGCAAGTCTTTCAGTGACTTTGGTGACTTGTTTAGTCACAGTATGCCTATATCTGACATTTCCATATTCTTAGCTGCGTATGTTGCCGAACAAAAGTTACGCTTCAGCGCACGCGACATAAAATACAAACGTATACACCTGAAACTACACCAACACTGTAATCATCATTAGATTAGCCTTAGCAACACCAACGGACAAATTAACTTGTTCAACCTATCTGGAGATTTCCCCTATTGATTGACCCCAAAACGACCAATCACTACCCCTTGATTGCTTATTGGACTTTGCATGATAAAACCTCAGTTACTTTGTTTCTCGTTCACATTCGGACCTTGATTAACCACAAGAGTTTACCCGTTGTGTATCGCTCAATGGTTAATCTTGCTACTCCCGCCTTCTGTCGTACTCCTTGTGCTTGTTGTACGGCCCAGTTACACACTCAGCTTCATTAGTCTGTACTGGTCCCGTCATACTTCCTTTCTTTGCCTGACCGAACTCATCCAGACATTCACATTTACTCTCTTCCAGGACACATTCCATTGTCTGAGTGAGTAGGCTAGACTCGCTCACCACGCCCGCGTTCCATGTGCGCAGCTCATTGGCTGATCGATTGACGATCGATCACTTCAGTTTAAACCACGCTGACATTAGAACCGCTTCGCTTCATTGTGCTTATCTGTTGACCATTGCTGTTGACGGCGTGTTGCATTTGAGAGCCGAATTGTTGTACACATTTGGTCTAAAAATTGTTTGAGATTTGTCATTAAATTGTTTTCTAACCATTTGTAACTAGCGCCTTAGCTCTTCCGCTTTTGACTGTTGCGTTGACCCGACTGCGCTAGGAGTTGCTCAGGTTCCAGACCGATTTGTCGGTAACAGGCAATGCTGCGACGCACTCAGGTAACAGCATTGATTCTCCGAATACATGTGCGGCTAGTCTGTGTTCCGGGACGCAGCGGCGGCATACTTCATGCGCTCTGTGTACCAGTGGATATCCTCCGTAGGTCAGGCCAGGTATTGCACTGAGTCTCAAGTCATCTTTTGCAATGTCTTCAAGTGATTCTGCTACCCAGGTGCATACGGTCAAGGTGGCTGTTTGATGCCTGTCGCAGTTGCACGATACGATGAAGTTGCCTGTAGGAATCCTGTTGTACGTTTGCCGTTTTTGCTACAGGTGCGTTTGTCCAATGGAACAACCGTGTCATTGTTTCAAGTGGAAAATTATCCCAGGCGTGGACATCAGAACGACAAGTTAGCGAACAAGCTCGTTTTCGGTGGATCTCGTCAGGCTAAAACACCACAACTGATAGGAATAAGATTAACATAAAACAGCAGATAATGGTAGAGTTCAAACCTCAGGGTCATTGGAAAACAAATCAGAAGTGATCGATGGACTATCGGCGGCACGTCCCTCAACGAGTCGTTGTGATAGAGGGCCAGGGCAAACACAGAATCTGAACGAATCGTTTTTGAGCACATAAGTCTGGGTTCTGGTGGCGGATAGCAATTGCCTCAGCCGTGGCTAGTAAGCGACATTTTACCACACGTGAAAGACGTCCAGGTACACGGTAAATGGGTTGGAAAGATTGGCGGGTGTCGATTTGGTGATTAGAATCAACCAAGTGTGCCAACAGGGCGCTCATCACAGTTTTTCTCCCACCATTGCGTAGGTTAGCTGGACAATGCTCGCGTATTCTCTCAGACAGCCTCCTAGTAGTTCTTCCGATATATCTTACTTGACATGAACAAGAGAAGGAATATACACACTAAGAAGTACATGACCAAGGAAGTCTGCCATTATTGATAGACTGTAATGGAGACAAGTAAAAGACCATTTTTGTTTTGTTGGTGTCTTTCACCCTCACTTGTGTATGCTCACTTGATGTTTCGGGAGAGTTTATACACCGTCAAGAATACATATTCTTCATCGACGGCTGTGACCACGGTGGCCAACCGCAGTGTATTACGGGTTATCCGTTTACCGTTGCAGTGCATCACACATGCGTCACATTTAATAGACCGGCACGACCGGATAAATAAATAAATAAATTTGTATATTTACCGACGGACGGTACACGGCCCCATAAGTGGGATCGATCATTTTGATGATGTAGCTGGAACGTTGCATACCGCCAGTGGCGTAATTCCTCTGTGGCTACCAAAGCAAACAACAGACATAAGCTGAATATTCACTCGTACTGGATGCATAAATCACTTTTTGACTTGAATTGTACGCCGTACCGGCGTTTCGCTGCCACGCAACCACCACCAGCCGTGCGTAGGCTAATAATATTATGTGGGTCGCCCGGTCCCCTACGCAGGCTCGAACTGCGAATCTTTGGATTGCAAGCTAGATGCGTTGTCCTTCCGGTTATCCACCGGCAGCTACCAGGTGTTCACGGTTTGCAAAAATGTATTAGTACTGCATCTGGATGGCGCAAAGATGCTTTTCAGAGACATCATTATACTATGACATCGAAGACTCGGAGGCCATACAAACCTCTCCTAAGCGCATCTTGTAAGTTGGAGTGCCCATATACGGTAAACAACTGCGGTAAATATCCGCCAGCGAATTTTGAACAATGAACTTATACAGGTTAAGGACGTTACTTCACAAGTCCCGTTGGATAGTTGGTGAGGATATCGAAGTAATAATAATAATAATAATAAAACAGTTAGTACTTTAAATATGAAAATACGGACTTATCGTTTGCTCCGCTGTAGTCCTGCGACCCGCTTAGATTCACAGCACCCACAGTTGGCATCAAATGAATTCATGCTAAACTCCAGATGTAGGATGAAGACGTAGCGATAAGTGTAAGTGGATGAGTGCGTCATCCAACCGTCTTTTGAATACTGTTGGTGTCAGTGCAAAGACGACCGTTTCTGGGAGAGCATTCCACGGGTCACAGACACGAATGGAAATAAAGTTACTGCGGCACTCCAGACGGCTATAGAATAGAGCGGGTTACGAAACCTACCAACATATTTGTCATTGCAATCCATATTCCACTCCAGATCGTAGCCTCGACAGTTTCATATTTGCCTTTTCTGTTTCGTACATAAAAATTAGCTACCGGATGCCCTTCTTACTGGCAAATTGATTCCCTTACATATACAACGTACTTCACCTAATTTTGGCATGTCATTTAAGCCTATATGAATTTGAAGAGATAATAACTAATTTATTATTACATTTCACAAATGTATATTCAATTATAGTCCGAATGAGTTCCTAGCACATAGCAGGCAATGAATTTAATTATTTTGAGTTGCCCATGGGCGTTTTACCCGCAATTGTTGTATCTTTTTATGCTTATAATTCTGATTAACGCTTTTTTAATTACAGCCATCTCAGCGTGACTCGAGTGTATCTGCGGAAGAGTTGGAGAGGATAATATCGGTGACAAAACCTGCAGTTAGCACTGGGGGACTATAACAATGACATTTCCTTCAACATTGACCGATGATCTCTAGGTGACAGAGACAATGAAGTAATTGCATTTACCACTATTCTTTCCTGTTTTTCAAGTCTTTGCACCCGGGTATGTATTTCTGGGTCGCTTCAGAACAAAACTGCAGCCGAAGTTGTGTGGGCGTTTTACCCAAAGTCTAGGGTATGATGCCCATTCCAAGTGAAAAACTACTTTTATATAAATCGCTACAACTGCTACAGATATTGCCCACAGTGCGTAGGTATGGTAAGCTAACGGTGTACCAAACAAAGCATGATAGGAATTTCACAAATCTTGCAAATGAAGCCAAAGCTATGTGCGTCTTACACCCTTTCCCCCTACTGTTCTCCGAGTTTCAATTAGTGGCTCCTCAGCGTTGTATTGCTGCTGAGTTGCACATATGATGTGAGTCTCGCAGAATCAAGCATGCCATAATCAGGTCGCCTCGTAGTCTGCGATAGCTTCCACTGAATACCCCCAATCGTTGCATCCTCTCCTAGTATGAAAGATAGCGCATTCCAATTACGTTCTTAGATGTACGACGTTGTGGCTGTTCCAGTGCATTAAGGTCGTGTTTCAACCATGGATGCCTGGCTTGAATTGCGAACATACGCACTGAGCAGTTGTCGAAATATGGAGCTGTTTATTTGTCTAAACGCCTGTCGCAACAGCCCAACGTTTTGGTTTCCATACTTAGAGGCCTTTTCGGATTGCCTGGAGCAACCCAAGTCATCTCGAACCAGCATAACCAAGTCGCGTTCGACAGTTGACTGTTGCGGTACATTCGTTCCGAGCCGGTAAGAGTAGCTGCTCTGATGTCGGATGGAAAGTGCCTTGCATTTACACACGTTGAATTGCAGTAAATTTTGGGTTGACCATTGATATACCGTCTCTAGGTCACTCTGAAGCAGGTGCTGGTCGGCGTTCATCTGGATCCTGTGCCAAGTCTTGACATCGTCGGCAAACATTAGAAAGTTTGGAGCGATTGCCTGTGCAACGTCATTAATAAACACCAAAGACAGACGTGGACCTAGAACTGCGCATTGGTTCACACCACAATCGACTTTTTTGCTTCCGCTAAAGAGCTCTGTACTCTGACCACTAATTGCCGTTGAAATATCATGTTGGCAATCCGACTTAAAGGAGGGTCGCGGATCCCGTTATGCTGCAGCTTGGAGAGTAGTATCCGATAGTCTAGACGATTGAATGCCTTCGAAAAATCCAAGTAGATCACATCAACACCTCCAGCGTCAGCTGACTCGGTCCAACTAATGAGTGCGATTAGTAAATTCGTTGTGCATGACCGCTGTCGACGGAAGCCATGCTGCTCAGTCGTGATGATGTTGCAGTTTACCAGATAACACACCAGTGCATCCGCAACTATGGATTCCATAACTTGGAGAGTGTAGAAAGAAGGGATACTGGACGCTAGTTGGAGGACTGGGTTCTGCTTCCACCTTTGTGAATCGTGGTTATTGTTCCAAGCTTCCACATGGCGGGAACTTGGTTCTGGTCTAAGCATTGCCTGTAAAACAGCTAAAGCTCCTGTCAGTGGGCTTACTGCTGCTTCCAATGCCTCTGGACGAATGGTGTCGACGCCCGGCTAGCTGTGTTTGCGTAGACTCGTCATCTTTTGCAATACAGCCTCCGCTGTAAAACTGGTGTGGGTTAGTTCTGGCGAAGAGACGACATAGGTTGGATGATCGTTTGGCAGCATATTCTCTGGATCGTGAGTGCATATTGCATTCGCAGCACGTTTTCTGCTTCCACAGCCGTTCTTGTCGGGCCATCCTCAGTGGAGGAAATCCTTGCCTCACCCAGCGTAGGCTATTGACGTGCTTGTACAACAGTTTGTGGTTAGCACTGACGGTTTTTGCGATGTTCTGCTGATATGCGGCTTTGTCTTCTCTTAGCACATGTGTGCAGGGGTTACGTTGGGCTACGTAGTTGTCCCAAGTTTCTGGTGCTGGAGCTCTCTGTACACACGCCATGCTGCGTTGCGTACTGTGATCCATTGTTCGATTCTGCTCCTAACGGAAGCAACTGATTTACACTTATTGCAAACTCTTATCTCTGAATCCGCTACAGTCAGCTGACTGAATATGTTGACGAATTCGAGCCAGGAGACTTTCGGGGATTCTTCGTCAAGGAACGACCGAGTTGTAGCGCTACCGAGCTGGGCTCATCGTTTGTATCTTGTGATGGTTCGCACGGTCTCATCGTTCTCATTCCGATATTCCGCATAGCAGTTGAAGTTTCAACTGATCACTGCGATCCAATTGGCAGTCTAAAACCAACACATCAATCATATGCTCTTCGTTGGTAAGCACAAGATCCAGCACAGACGACCTGTTACCTCTTCTGAACCGAATGGGCAAAGTGATGTGATTGTAAAGAGGAACAGTGGTTGAGGTCTGGTAAATCGCCTTTCTATTGTTCTCCGATCGTGGCAGGAGTTTCTAAGCAATGTACGTTGAAATCACCCATGATAACGATATGTGTGCTTTCACTGTAAACTGCATCTTAAAGCAGCCGCTAGGTGGTTGTCGGTTTCGGTGTCGAGTTAGGGGGGGCGCTCCGCCAAGACAATAAGGCAAGCGTCTCTGCCTTCTAACTGCAAGCAGCACCAGAGAGAGAGTCGGGGAACTGCGAGTCTGAATCCTCCACGGCTTCGCACTATAAATCGCTTCGGTAATGCAGGGTTACCCCCTCCTTTTGTGAGCCTATCGTTCCGGATCTGCGACATGTCCGGTAGCGAAACTTCAGCGTCCGTCATTCCCGTGTACAACCACGTCTCGGTGACACTAATGACATCATATGACCCGGAAGCTTTGCGATCTTTCAGTTCGGCCAGTTTATTAAAAAGGCACCGAGTATTCAAATACAAGCAGACCAGTTTCTCGGTCTCTAGGAGCCCGCGGAGGGTTAAACGAGTCAAGTGTGGGAGAGTGCCCTCCGATGGGAGGTCGGCAGTTACTCGTTATTTTTGTTGGAATAATGATACCTCGCCTGGAAGTTGGTTCGGCCAAGGTGCGTCCCAATCTTCCTTTATACCTATGTCAGAGTTAAGTAAAGCAGCAGTCAAATTAAGCTCCTGTATCATCGTCGGTACGTTTTCTGCTTCAGGTTTTTTGATATTTGAACTTTAATATGAATCAATATCAGTTCTGGGTGAATAATTCCTTTCTGTAAACTCTCATCGGACCCAAACGTTTACATAACACTGATTTTGGGGAAAGCGTCAACTCGGGCTGGGATTGACTTCTGGACTGTTTGAACGATCGAAATGGATAACTTGGGACAGAGATATAGATGATATGCCAAGTGAACTAAATAAACATGCATACAATACTCATTAGTCCGAAGTAATTTGAACGTTGCTAAGCTTCTGCGACCTTTAACCGAAGTTCTGAAGGAATAACTTTCCGTTATCTCTGCCATCGATCCAAAACATCGTTGCTTTTTGCTCTGACTGAACCACAACTTTTGCAATTCTGGGGCCGCATCCTCTATACTTTGGTAAGAGAGGTATCCTGGTGGGCAGTAACGCCACAATATTGTCCAAAAGTTTTTCACGAATGAACCGCCACTGTTCTAAATCGTGCTTTTCGGCCTCTTGAACGTCGTTAGAAGGTTGTTCTGACACGCCATGTATGAAGATTGTGTTCAGGCGGTCTTACTTGCTGTGTCCCTTTTCGGAGTTTCTTTTTGATTGTCGCATGTTCCCAGGGACAGGATGGATGCGTATCCTACAGGATCCGTGTTTTTGCGCGCCTGCGGAGATCAAACCGTTTTCTACGTCTGTGGCGGTATCTAGTGTTACTCAGATAAGTCTGGCTTCTCCATAGTGTGCCGTGTTCGGATGACGAGTAATTCCTAATAGGTTTATAGACTTGACTTTGACACTCATCAGCACGTAGGAGTTCCATTGGTCTTGGTCGTCCGATAAGTTACCCCGCAATGCGATAGCGATAGATTCAGTGACATTTGTGCATATATCAGTCTGGGCACTATTGTTTGATCTCTTTTTCGCTGACCTACAATGGAGAGTAATCGTTTGTCCTGACATGCTGACAAGTGTTGATTGTTTACTGTTTGTCCTTCCATCTGCATTAACGGTGTTTACAACTGAAGAGCTCGTAACGGCGGCCTCCCGGCTGACCTTTGAAGCAATTTCTGCATATTTAACTGATGTCCTGAGTGGCTTGGTCTTGACAAGAGACATTTAAGCTCCAGGTACCGATGGTTGATGCTTGGGTGCTTCATCCTTATTAATGCTATATGACAGGTCTAGTGAAATTTGCTTAACCAGGCGTTTCGAGTGGTGCCTGATTTGCGTTGCCATGAGTACTGTTTGACTCTCACAAGTGCGATCAGTTTCCGCCAAAGTTGGAGACAACGGAGATGGGGACGTGGCTGACTGCGGTTCAGGGGAAGCAGAATGTACAGCATTCCGTTGCTTAGAGGCTGCTACGCTTCCCTGGCACATCATCGCTTCCATTGCAGTAATCTTATCGTTTATCCTCTGCTCGGCTTCTGCGGTTAACCGGTCGCACTTCTGAACTCGGATAAGCAAGCACTTAACGAATGTGATGATTGAGCACGCAGCACAAAACCAAAGCGCATTTTGTGTTCTAGTTCGCTCTCGTACCTTTTGTTGAGACACGTTTGCACAATTCGGATGATACCATTCCAAGCAATGCTATCAAGGCAAACCTATTTTAACTAATCCATGTCACCCTCCTAACCCTCAAATGCCTGGAGCCTTTTCAGATTCGCATTTCTGCCACTCAACCTGGTGTCGTTATCTGACCCAGCAGTTTGCTTGGCACTCTGTACTTTTCCAGCTTTAAGAGCCGCGCACATCGGTCAAGCGAGCGTTGTGGTTGCAAGGTCAAATGGGCGGTCTGTGGGATGGGTTATGCAAGCGCACTGGCTTTCTAGGTCACGAGGACTGGCGAGTGACCGGAACCTCCTAACTGAATCTGAACACCGATTTTTTCGCAGCTGCGTTGAGGAACGCCGGATTGGAATAAGTTTAGGCTTTTCGGACTGTCTAGAGAATGCTGTATCAAATGGCGTCTCGCAGAAAGGCGATCGTCTCAATGTGCTTGAGTTATCCGCTTGCGCTTAATCACTGATGACAGTGAAAACGGTAAGTGATGCCACGGACTTCACTCCTACTAGATACTTCCATGTGTAGGGCTGATAAATCCGGTTCGAATGAGCGTACAGTGACAACGCTGCGAGAAGATGGAGAGAGGATAGAGGGGAATAATCTAAATGAACCAGGAGCACGCACATCACGCGTGTGTGTGGATCTCCTTGGCTTCACAGCGCACGAGGTAGAGACGGCGCGTGAAGTTTGCTGCACAGACTTACTTCAGGAAGCAACTGAACATTTTTTCTAGGTGATCTAGCGTAGAGGAAGATGTTGACCCAAGGTCACTGATCAGTGGACTTACGGTGGAATAGCTGGATGAATACTTTCAAACCAGGTGACTGTCATTTGCATCATTCTCATGAGTTTTGCTATCATTTCGCAGGAATACAAATCCGGTCTCACGTTTTGTGTCTGCTCTGCTATACTAGCCATGAACTCGGTCTGGTTACAGCCACCGCATTGCTGAGGCTTCGGCGAACTGCAGTAGGCGAGCAGTGCTCTGTCTGTTGAGTATTCTGAATGGAGATTTGACAGTCGTTTACCCGCAAAGCGATCGAACTGGCATGCTTCCATGTTCGCCAGATACCATGTGTCCCATTTTCCGCGAATGCAGTCTTCCGCGTACACAATTTCCTCTGTAAGCTTTTTGCTGTACGCCATTTTTGTGTGCGCTTTCATCATAGAACCGTCTCTACATAACACCGTGAACTCGTTCTCCATCAGTTTGATCCAATCGACCAGCTGGCGGCTGGCATAGGAAGTCGTTGCTCTGGGGCCAGCCCTGTCCTCTGCACATTCATAACATGAAAGACAGTGGAGGATGAGCCGCGCTACATCGCTGTTAGATATCAGTCATGGCGGTTCGCTGCCGTCGCCCAAGGCTCGGTGACATAAGTCGCGGACTCGCATGAGTAAGGTCGTGGGTTCGAATCCGGCAGGATTCGGCGGGTGCGCGCTACTGACGAGTCCCAATAGGACGAAACGACTGTCTAGCGCTTTTCTGGATGTGTGGTGGCTGCCTGCCTGTGTCTAGCTGCGAGAAACCGACACGAACACCTGATAAATCCCCCTACTACTTACAAATACTAGATGCCTGATAATGCATTTTGTTGTTTGCCGAACTAATGCGCTCACTGACAGGCTTCAAAGTAGATCATCATCATTGGTAGCCTTAAGGTGAAACGTTCTCATGGGCTCACTCTAATTTGCTGTCCAATAAGCTTCAGAATGCTTCAGGGTCAAACTGTTCCTGGCTACTAGGGAAGGGACGGGGGCCGGCTCCGAAGGCTGCTATGGGCAGACTCTCTTAACAAAAAGTTAATCAGGTACTTTGTTTAATGGACGACGGTAACGCTCCACATTTGTCATGTATAAGTCCTCTTGTAAGCTTTCAGACAAAGCATCGGGTGGGTTGCGCGCACGCCAATCTCGTACACAACACTAACTAACGGCATCCAATTCCGTTGTTGGTGACTCCGTTTCCTCTTCTAGACTAACTATCGCCTCTCGTGTGCAGGGGTTGGTGCGAGCAATGTGCGGCCTTCATGCGCTGGAAGCACCAAACTGTCTACGAAGGGTGACGGCGGCGTCTGCCCTATGTTATTGCTAACTCTTTCGTGAAACCCCGATTTACTTACTGAACTTCATATCTTTTCTAATCTCTTTTTTATTGCTTGTACTTCTCACTTTTCATTACCTTGTCATCGAGATCTGCCGCCATTTTATTTCACTTAGATGGTGTACGTCGAACCTTTCACTCCGGAAGTGCTGAAGAGTTGTTTCAGATTTTATAAACATTTGCACTACGATACAGTCGTATTGAATGCGATGGATGATGTTCTATCGACAACGTTTTCGCGTACAAACGTGAGTTTCCTATTCCAATCGGCCGCATTCTGTGTAGGTTAGTTTCAGGTCTGATTGGTCCGGTGCGTCAACTGTAAGCAGCGACTTCATTGTGTACGCATTGCCCAGTGAAGGATTCTTCCTACTCCGTGGATTGCTCACTCATGATACGGTTCATCAACTGCTGCTTTCCTCTGTCTTTGAATGGACCCAGGCTGATTCAAGAATTTCCAATATTGATCCACCATGCTGCGTCTCCGGTGATTTGTGGCTTCCAAGCCTCAAAGAAGTGTACATTTTCTACCATTTATCCATGTATCTTCTTACAGCGCGAGTGGGAAGACTTGGGAACAGACTGTGATGGGAAAACTGCGCTGGATAACGTTTGGATACCACTACCAATGGTCCAACAGAGTAGGTCCCCGCTGCGCATACTGGTTTATTTCGGTTCACCCCACATTAGACGACTTTTTGAAGCTAACAGCAAGTTCATCATGCAGCCATTTTTTCATACAATGCCTTTTTGTTCTTTTCTGTGTGCCGACATCCATTCGTGTGTGGTTTGCTTTTTGCATCGCGAAGTGTGCGTCGATACTGTGTGATAAAACGTGTTTTCAGTCTCGCTATTAGGATCTATGCTTTCCGTCTCGGAGTTTTGACCAATTCTCATGACTCCTCATTCGTACATGTTTTTTTGCTTTCTCCATCGCTCACTCTTATTTGAAGCTAAGTCGCACGTCTACCGGCTTGTCCATCTGATACTTCTGGGAATTTCCCAATTGATATCCATATCTCATTTGATCGCACATCGACACTGGTTGGCAGGCCCTGTGCGTCTATCATAGCTCTGTTATTCGTTTCTTATCTTGTGCCTATCGCCTCCGCTATTATTCTTTTCCGTTAGCGGTACGAAGAATCTCTCAGAGGGAACATTCCCGACGTGCTTGGTCAGGTCACCACAGATGTTGTGAACTCGCTGCTTCTTGAACTGACCAATGGATCACTGGTTGATGTGGATGGCGCTCCGGAACTCGCGGAGGCGTGCATTGGCTTCCACCCAGAGGCAGCAATAATAAATTATTATCGAGCGAAAACCACCATGGGTTTTCATGCGGATGATGCGGAATTCGCACGAAAATCTCCCCTCGTTTCTATCAGGTGGGTTTCCATAACTTTTGCCATGTTGGTTTTGCTGTGGTTTTCGCTCACTTACTCTGTCTAACGGTTTTGGAACGGCCTGACCATCTCCCGTTCTTTTGAAGCGTGCTGGTAAAATTTCTCCAAAATATTTCCTTTTACCGTACACCTAGGGGATCTGAGGTGTTTCACCTGCATGCGGTTGTTTGAATAGCTGAATATACATTCTTATCGTCTTCAACTTAGAATTGCCCTGCTTCGTTCGCCTTGTTGCCGATTTAAGTAAGCAGGGTGTATCGGTGTCGTCATAGCCGTAGTTAGACACTTTTATACTAGAAACTATCTAAATAGACTTTTCGGCGCTTACCTTCAGAGTTCTTATTTCATTGGCAGCATCTGTGTCCTGATTTGCTTGTCACTGCGGCCTCCGTGCGGATAGCCATAGGACGTCTGCGCTTACAGAGGGACCAAGGGTAGTTTGCGATGCAGCATCCACAGCTCCATCCACAATTCCATACCCAGTTTAAATTTGAAGAAATAGGCCTAGGTGACATGTGAATGTAATCCACGTTTCATCAACGGAGTCCGCCCACAATCTTCCAACATGCATATCAGAAGCATTCCTGTTTATCTATGTGGCGAACCATGCGTACCAGACGTACACAAGACGGTGGCTTGGCCGTAGTCCACTACACGTTGGTGGAACCACATTTGGAGCCTGACAACGCCACAAGGACCGTGCACTCCGTCCCCCCCCCCCCAGCAATGATTCACATTCTCCTGGAGTCAATAATCGAGGTGGAGGGTGTTAGACAAGTAGGCACCTAGTCAACATTCACATCAAGCACAGCCAGATACTGGAAGTTTCATATATCAGAAGGCATCAGCAGTATGCCGGCACGTAGTACTGACGCTTCGCTGCCGCGCAACCACCACCGGTCGCACGTGGGCTAGGATACTGCGAGGGTCAGCTTGCTCCTACGCAGACACGAACCCGCGCCTTCAGATTACAGGACAAAGTTGTTACCTTTAGACTGCGGGCCGACAGACAGGCAGTCGAGTTCGGCCCGACTGAGGTGACAAAGCACATCATCATCAGCGTCGACTATACAATGCCTGGACAAATAATCAAATACACCCACATGCATTTGTTCACACTTGTGTACGAACTACCACGAACTGAATGGAAAACCTAAGCTCTCATGGACAATAGTAATACGAGCGTGCATGGGTTGGGATTGGAGCTAAGACTATCAATCATATTCATCTAATTGTGAGAACTCGCATGCGCAATCGGAAGTACCCAATAAGGGACGATCAACTGACAAACTTGAACGGTACTTGTGTTCCGCCTGGCTTACCGGCCTGCGTTCTTTAAGATCTTCATCCCGTAGCATTATTTGATTTTTTCCGTTTATCGCGACGCAGAGGTGTCTGAGTGGTGGAACGCCGTTGTATTTCTGCCTAAATGTGGACTGTCGCGTGGCTCCGTGTAGTGCAGGTCAAGCATAACACTGCGCTGGACTATGTATTGTCGTAGCTAGACAGGAACACCAGACCGTAGTAACATGTGCGAAGTGGACACTGAATGTGCGACAGAGAGACAGTACTGAACAAGTTAAAGGAAGCGGGTTAACGCGGAGTTGGGGTAATGGTAAGTCGGTATAGCCCAACTACGATGCAGAAATATGAGGAAAGCGACATGAACCTTAGCATGGGGCACCATGGTGCTTATTTACCGGTAGAGTTTTTAGAACTTGCTCGTTGACTGGCTAACCTATGTTGTCTAGCTCCGCCAGGTATGTATAAATAACTCGTTTATTTCAAGCTCACCGGAGAGCAGATTAAATACAGCCTTTCTAATGCTATTTCCCATCCTTCTTCGTCATATCTTTAAAATTCTGACGCCACAAGTGGGTGCATGCAATTCCATTCCGGCATGTTTTCGGTCGCACATAGAAATTCTAAGAAAATATGAAAAGAAATGACATAATGTCTAGATATGGAGGCTCCGCTACTCACAATGATCACGATAAAGCTTCTGTACTCGGGGAAAAGTATGCAGCGGTGTTTCTTCAGGCGTCACAGTTTGCCCCATATCAACCCGGAGGTAAAAGTTCCTGTAGACTCTGCGTAAGGAGATTTCCGTATCGGAGACTCAGCTGCTCAAACTTCTACGGGAACTGGACCATATTAAAGCGTCCGGGATGAATGCCATACATCCTAAATTGTTGCATGTGTTGGTAGATGAGCTTTGCTGTCCAGTTGCACGACTGTCTTTACACAGGTATTCTCTACCGACCGACCGAAAGGAGGCTATTCTGTGGCCCGTTGTTTTTAAATGATGACAACTACCCCCCTGAGAACTATGGGCTGGGTTGTTTGACAAACGTGCTTATCAAGCTTTGGAAAACGTGTAAGAGATACTCTTAAAAGATATTCAAGAGCAGTTGGGTCACTCAGCCTCTCAACATGGCTTTCGCAAGGGTTGTTCTGGCCTTACCACCTTGCTGGTGGCTCGCGGGGACCCTAGACTGAAGCCACCGATCAGAGAAAATCTGTGGACATATTATTCCTTGACTTTTACGTCCCCGATACACTTCCGTATTCTCGCCTGTTGTCCAACGTACAAGACAAGACTTCCGATTGATTCCGGCAATTTTACACTGAAGGGAAATGTGGGTTCCAGTCTCATTTTCCATCAGTGTGTTGTCAGCGGTGTCTCGCAAGCCTCAGTCCTTGGCCCTCCACTTTTCACTGTGTGTTAACGACTTCCTTGTTGGACTAGGAGTGCCATCCCTGATAGCTCGCACTGAACAATCGTAGTGATCTACTGGCCCTACCAAGGGCTCTGGACTGACTTTAGGTTTCGTCCCTTTGGTGGCAACTGCCCATGCATTTCACTAAATGTTCAGCTTTGCTGGCAGGATCAAGCGACCCACTGACGCACTGGTTGGTGAAAACGGAGTGCCGAGATTGCCACTTCAAACTGACCTAGGTGTCTTACTGTCACCTGATTTTAAGTCCATTGAGCATTGGGTGACAGCTCCTCGTATAGGTTTCAGCTTGTTGAGGATGGCCCGCAATTCATTCGAGGTCATGACGGCTGAAATGTTTGTAGAACTATTTTCTGGCTTTGTTAAGCCACACTTAGAATACTGTGTGTAAGCTTCTCCCTGATGCCTTATCCGGGACAGGATGTCAGTGGAACGAGTCCTACGCTCTGGGACGAAAGTAGTATATGGGTTAAGGAAACTGTTGTGTCCTGAGAGAATTCTCAAGTCAGACATCTGCCCGTTGTATTTCAGGTGATTTCTAGGCTACTTGGTCCTCGCTTATTACATACTAACGAAACAGATCGGTCCTGCTTTATCTGGATTGTTCCATCCCACTCGGATGCCAATTCTTCGTGGCCATCCACTGCTGCTTGAATCCCGGTCTGATCAAATTGGCCTGATTTTCGGTTGTCGCGCAGCGTTATAGATTATTGGAGTGCCCTGCTCAAGGTGATGGCGCCATCGGTGAATTAGTTCGAACATGGACTTGACGGTCTCAGTCTGCAGTTTACAGCCTTCCCCGAATATTCTAATTTTCACACCTCTACTGCGACCTGCTCCTTTTCACCCGTCAAAATCTACACCTCAAAAATGCGCAGAATAATTGTTTCAACTTACCTTCCCTTAGTTTTTCTCCCGCTTTTCACATGGCCGGTGCAGAGGGGACTGCTAGTGCATTTCATGTTGCTACTGTTTCGGTTCACCTTGCTTTGAGTCGTGCGTGTTGATTTGGCTCTTCCTTGAACAGGTCGATCGACCAAATTTTCTCTTGCATCAACGACGTTGTTAAATGTTAACATATATTCATTCACCTGATCTTTTTATTGTTTCGGCTTTATTTGTACTTGAACTGGAACATCGCCACTTATAATCCATGCGTCGCTTCTCTTCATTTAAATCATATGGTCACGCAGCGAGCTTGGCCGATAGACCACCACCACCACCACTATTTAAGTACCCTTGGCTATCCCATTGAGACACATTTCAGATACAACTCGATAACTTGACATTTCCAGTGTACCCTTACTCACACAGTACTCCGTTATGTTACTTTGGAAATTGATTTATGCGAAGCACAGGCGGTATCTGCAACCAGCAAAAATGCGTTCATTGCCTGAGTCAGGGCGATGTTGGAAGTGTTTTTCATATATATCTTGGATGAAGTTCGTCCGAAGTTTGTCTCATCGGAACGGCCAAAGGCACACACCAACCAGTCACTCAGCGTCAGTTCATTAGCAACTCTTGTTGAATACTGTATACTGGTTGGGAGCAGCAAGGACGGATATTTCTGTGTGGCTACATCGAGAATTAGACACAAAGACCTGTTATGTTGGAGTGCATTTGATATATTTCATGTCGGCAATGTGTTTGTCGAGGAATTTCTTGAATTCTGACAGATTTTGTCTCAACTGCATGCTACGGCACATCGTTCCATACATTCTCCACTGTCCGTTGGAAGCAGAGTTGGTGAACGACCCGCATCGAATCCGATACTACAAACTTGTACCGGTGTCCTCGTGTGCTGCTTTGTGTGCGCAGATGAAGCAATAGCCTCAACGTGCGGTAATCACTTAGATGTAATATCCGGTTAGTCATGATTAGGTCAGCTCGTACTCGACGATGAAATAGGGTATAAAGCCCTAGTCTCTTGCACCGGTCTTCGTACATCACACCTCGTAAATTAAGGATCAGCCTGGTGATAGGACAGTATGTTGGTGAGCCGTACACTAGAAGTGATCGTATAATTTGGAAGAAGAGGGAAGTGGCAACCTCTTACGACCAGTTGCTGAAGTTGCGCTTCAGTGCTCAAAGCATACAAAGTCCGTTTTGGTAAAGCATGTTCGTGTTATCCATAGACTAGGTCGCAGCGTTGGAGTACACTGAGGTACGGGATGCAATGGTTGACCGGCCACAGTGTATGTTCGACCGTGTTCACCCTTACCCAGCCTCATGTATAGCGACTTTACCGGGTTTATCGGTGCGGTGACCTCTGCAGACCACATGCAGAGGCAATCAAAGTCCCTTGAAG